TCACGTTCGAGTTGAAAATTCGGATTTTGGTGCGTTGACTTATCTGGTTGGATCTCCATATATTTCGTAAACTCGCAAAGGCAGCCCTAGCCTTCTTGATTCGTGCACCTATGTCGCTCTTGGTCCCGCCGTCCGACGCTATTCGGCTGCCAATATATTGGAAACTTTCGACCTTCTCCACTGCTTGCCCCGCAACCGTAAAGTTGGAAGGGTTGCCCGTGTTGATATCCAACGATTTGGTCTTGTTGACGTTGATGGTGAGACCCGCCGCAGAGGAGCGTTCGGCTAGGTCATTGAGCTTACTCTGCATATCAGAGCGCCGTTGTGCTAGTAGAGCAACATCATCAACCAAATCGAAGTCGTTGAGATGCTCCATGGTGATAGGCTGCCAAAGCAGCCCACGGTTCGGTACACGGTCAATTGCACCTACCATGAACTCGTCGATTACGATGAGAAACAGTAGCGGTGATAGTATACATCCTTGTCTCACACCAGCGACTACCCGGATAGGGTCGGACAAGGCTCCGTTATGCAGAACTCTGCACGTGAAAGCTTCATACTGCGCTTCGATGAGGTTGACGATTTTATCCGGGACTCCCTTGCGTCTCAGGGCGCCCCACAGATTCTCGTGATTGAGACGGTCGAAAGCTTTTTCGTAGTCAATGAATACCAAATAAAGGGACTCTTGGAATTCATTGACCTGCTCCAGGATGATGTGGAGCGTGACAATATGGTCCACACAAGATCTTCCGGCACGGAAGCCTGCCTGCTGCCGTCGGAGAGTCGCGTCGATCTTCTCCTGTATCCGATTCAGGATAACTTTGCACAGAACTTTGAGAACAATACACAGTAAGATGATGATTCGCCAATTGTCGCACACAGTCAGATCCCCCTTTTTTGGGACCTTCACTAAGATGCCCTGCATCCAGTCGGCCGGAAAAGTCGCGGTGTCCCAGATATTACCGAATAGTTGATGCAACATTTGTGCGAATAGCATGGGGTCAGCTTTGAGCATCTCTGCTGATATGCGATCGACCCCTGGAGCCTTGTTGGATTTCATGCTTTGGATAGCTGCTTCAATCTCCTGCAGTGATGGGGAATTGACGCGAGTGATGCGCCGCACGCTAGGCGGATCATGCCGAGATGTTGATGGCTGGTTGGCCGTCGAAACTTGAAGAAGTTGTTCGAAGTGCTCAAACCAGCGTTTCAGCTGGTCAGTGGGGTTGGTAAGCAATTGTCCAGTCGTGTCCTTCACTGGCATCCTTGCTCCACTCAGGCGTCGTGAGATATCGTAGAGGAGGCGTATATCGCCAGTGTTTGCGGCTTTCTCCCCTTCGTCGGCCAGGGAGTTCACCCACGCTCGCTTTTCCCGTCTGCAAGAGCGCTTGACTTCCTTCTCTAGAACCGAGTACCGTTGACGGGCTTCGTTCTTGGTTCCTCTGGTTCTCGCCCGCTCTATCGCAGCTTTTGCTTCTCTGCGCTCCTCAATCTTCCGCCAGGTTTCATCTGTGATCCACTCTTTCCTCTGTGTGCGCAGCTCACCCAAGTTGTTCTCGCTTGTTTCTATAAGGGCATTCTTGATGGCCGTCTATTGTTCTTCTACGCTGCCACCTTCTGGAACGTCCACAGCTCGAGTCTCAAGTTCTTCAACAAAAGACCTTTTTACCACAGGATCTTCAAGTCGGCGTGTGTTGAACCGCCGCCCGAGTCTCTCCTCCCGTCGCTGGATTCGCGCCATGCGTAGGCGGATTTCACCGATTAGAAGGTGATGGTCGGACGCGATGTCGGCGCTGCGTTTATTCCGGACATCAAGAAGGATCCGTCTCCATTTTCGGCTGATGCAGATGTGGTCGATCTGATTTTCGGTATGTCCATCACGAGAAACCCACGTGACTTTATGCACTGGCCGATATGGGAAGAGCGAGCCCCCGATCACCATGTCGTTATTGCCACAAAATTCTGCAAACAGCTCACCGTTCTCGCTCATTTCGCCGTGTTGTCGGAGCCAATCTTCGCATTGAAGTCGCCAGTGTAGATCTTTATGTCACCCTTTGGAACCTTATCCACGACAGCATTCAGTTGACTGTAAAAATTCTCCTTGTCATGTAGCTCGGCAGCATCGGTTGGCGCATAACATTGGATTATGGTAAGGTTACGAACCCGTGTTCTAAATCTGGCAACGATTATCCTCTCATTAACAGGCTCCCACTTGATGAGCGCAGCACTTGCCTGGACGCTAAGTAGGAGACCAACTCCACGATGGCGGGGAGCTTTCTCAACTCGAATATCAGAGTATAGTAGTACCTGTCCCGACGGCAGTTTGTGTTCTCCAAAGTTTGGCCAACAAACTTCACTCAGTCCCAGGATTTCTAGCTTCATTCGTCGCGATTCGTTGGCGAGTTGTGCCAAAGTCGTTGCCGTTAAATCAGTTCGATGTCTTTCTCTGTTGGTTTCTGTAACAATTGTAAAGGTTTCAGAGACAGTAGGTGGTTGGCCTAAGGTCTCCTATCCACCGTGATGGGGCTGCCATCTTAAGTGTAGCTTCCGGGGAAGAGCATTTCTTATTCAGCCGCTGGATGCCAGTCAGACGCTGTTTGAGCCGCACCTCCATGGTGAACAGACGCTCGGGTTGGCGAAGCATTTCCTCTATCAGCGTGCTATGGTTACCGCGCCAGTGTTCGCGTCGCACCTCCTCACTCTGCTATTGTCGGATTGACAACATTGCCCAGGCTACGCCAACCAGCTGTGTCCATGTTTCAGCTGGCAGTCTTTTGTGATCATATGACTCGTGGAGGCGTGAGGTAGGAACTTGTGAGGACCGGAGCTAGGTATATCGCTCCTTCCAGATTGTCACTCACCATTTTGTAGCCCAGGGTGGGTCACCGTTATATGGAAAACCGCATACTTGACCTCATCAAGCGAGAACAACCATTTTTTGGTTTAATTTGGGGTCCCAAACCACTGTGAAAAATTTGGGGACGATTGGCCGGCATGGAAGGAAGCTCCGCTCTACATCGCCCGAAGCGAATGACGAAGTTTCTTGCAAGATATAATGACTAAATAACTAACGTGCTGGGACCAAGCTCCAGATTTTTTTTTTTTCAAATAGGATGCGTTGCCCTTTTTTCCACAATATTCCCATACAACAGTATGACAGCCCTGTTCACAATTTCAAAAATGCATTTTAATATTATTTACTATTTTTTCCGCATGCTTCGATCTTCAATTTACCTAGTTTCTATAGCATGCAACACGCAACAGTACTTGACCACAATGTATATAGTCTTCCACTAGCCTCAAATTTTCATTAGCCAAAGTTTTTGTTATATTCCTCTTCCGTGCTTCCTATTTACCAGAGTACATAAGCGCTGTGGTCTTCAACCAGTCTCGCATCATTTTGTTTTGCTTCTTCGTATTGTTGTCAGCCGGCCTCACTATATTTTATATACAAGCTATGTTTACACTTCTGCGTATTGGTGCGCGCTGCGATCTGAGGCTGAGGCCAGCGTCGCTATTTATTCCATATACCCACATATAGAAAGCTTTGATCCCGCGCGCTGTGGTCTTCAATCGGTCTCGCTTATTTTATCTTATATGTTACAATGGTGAGCACTTCCCTAATAAAAATTGTATGGTTAATTTGCTTAACGACGTGTTCTGAGTATCATCCAAACCATTTGTTGAATAGTTCGATGATTTGGGTTATCGTTCATTTATGGTTATTTTTTATTAGGGTTCGGTCATCGACCGGCCTCACTCCCTCTACTTTAATAAACCAGCGCTGCGACTATGAACCGGTTTCGCTTTTCACTCTTGCTTCCTATATTGCTATGTATTTGTGTGCTGGCTATGACATTGTATCGGCCCGCTGCCGATTTCACTATACCACTTTTTTTTCTTCATCAGCAGCCGCCATCTTGTTCACGCGTAGCACACAAAAATGCTCCCGAAATTCATGCTATATGGCCTAATCGAATATTAACACGAAAAAGCACCTTTATTTTGATCTACTCACCTCAATTGATTACCGGATGCGCCAAATTGTAGGAATCGAGATATAGAGAGATCGAGATATAGATCAGATTAACCTACTATATCGTTTAAAAGGGACCGAAAAAAAACCATCAATCCAGATTTAGAAACACGAGATATGAAAAATTTACTGTACATACACATAAATACAATCCTGAACTCAAAAAGCGAAACTTTGGAGTATAACTTTGTGGATATTTTTGAACGACGAAAAACCGAACATATAATAGGTCTTGGTATCACAGACAAACAGATTTAAATAAATCTTGATAAATGTGGGCGCCTTAGTGGAATACCAGTATAAATTTCCCATAAAAAAAACTCACTAACGACATCTCGCGAGCTATTCGCGGAAAAAAAGCTTGCTTTCCAAGTCTCAAACAATGTTGCATACAAGTTTGATAGAATGTTTAGAAACGTCAAAGTGGTCCGATGCCTGCAATGTGGCGAAACCAATAATATTTAAATTGAACACTAAAAATGTGTACGACGATTGAGGAGAAACTGTTACGTCTGCTTGTCTGTGATACTATTGTATTGCATTAATATCTTTACCATTATTGGTGAAATATCAAAAAATCAAAAACCATCTCCACCTCGCAGCATTACCAACTAGGTCAAAACTGACAGAACAAGGTCACCGAAAGCATAGTTGACCCGCGCTCACGCATGAACACGAAACATATTGCCATGTCATCCACCCACTCTCACTCTTCCAGACATTTCTCCCTTTTACGAGTTTTCTTCTTAATGGGGACCAGCACCGAGCTTGGTACGCCTCGCCGAAACAACAAGCAAACGAGAAACCAGTTTCCCGAAAGCATAACGTGCGGCGGTGTTCTATTTCGGAGCCCAGTGGGACCCCCGAATTATGCAGCACGGCGGATAGATATTTACCGTTATTGGGATGTTGGTGGTCACAAAACCAGTTCCTCTTGAAAACTGCGACGGAAAAGCTTCCCACAGCTGATCATAACCCGCTCACGCATTGCTCAGGTATGCATCGGTTCCCGAAATATAAAATAAAACTCGGTCATAGCTAAACATTCAGAACGGTTTCGATCGCTTGCTGTATTGGACGACGGAGAGTGACCAAAGTGACCTGCTTGAACAATAACCCACCACATTGTCATGAGGCTGTACCGCGTTGGACCGGTTCTGTTGCTTGCGGTATTAATTAGTTGTCAATTGGTAAGTTGTGAAAGTGACGGTAATGAATCGTTGGACAGTGCTACCGAAACGATCGAGATTTGCACCAAAGATGTGCCGGATTCGAAGCAAATACCCGTGACTACCGAGACGAACAAGCCTTTGGTTGAAAGTCTAGTTAATGAAGAAATCCAACCAGCCGTCCAACCCGTGACCAGTACGGAGGAAGTGATAACTATATCTGACCCACTTACTGATGTGATCGCGTTTGAAGGTAATGTTCTCGGATATCACAAAACATGAAGTGACCATATCAGTGACATATTTCAACTCTCCACAGAAAGCGACGCCAACCGTTTCTTCGATGTCCTGAAAAAGCAGATGAAATGCGGCTATCCCAAGTTCGGAGTACCATCGATGGTTCCACTTAAGCTGAGCTACAAATTCAAAACATCTCTGGATTTGCTCAGTCTTAAAAAGTAAGTTTCTTATCAGTCAGTAGCTTGAATTTTCATTCTATTAATGAACCGAAAAAATCTTCCCCAGAGTCCAAATCAGTGCTTCCAACTTCGTGATCCACGGATTGGACAACTTTAGCTGGAAATCGTCAAACACTTCCTTCAGTCGTAGCAAAGCCAATCTTATGCTGAACTTCCCAAATGTCACGGTCACTGCTGATACCTCGCTGAACCGAGCCAACGGAACCTCGCGGCTCTCGTTGTACGACATCCTGGTCTACGTGGAAACCAAATACGAAGAGAAAGATGATCAACTGTATGTCACCGACCTAGATGGCGATCTAGCTGTGCGTGCTGCTACAGTAAGTGCAATGGAAGAAAACCCTCACAAATAAGCATCACTTAATTCCCTCCCTCCTCCAAATGTAGGTCAAACTAGATCACCTGTTCCCGAAAAGTGCCAAACTGACCAGAATTTGGAACAAAGCCATCGGAGACTCGCTCCCGGTGGTGACCAAGCTGATCACCTCCAGGAAGCTGAGTGTGGATTTCATCAATCGAATCATTAACGGATCCAGGTACTACGTGATGAACACCATCAACACCGCGCTGACGACGTACAAAATGAGCTTCGACCGGCTGGTGGAAAGTATCCAGCGGTTCTCGGACAAAACGTACGATTCGCTGATGTGCAACGAAGATGATCTGGTGGAGCAGTCCAGGGTGCTGTAAGGTTGTCCGCGTTGATTGTAGCAATAAGTGTTATTTATTTTTGAATTACATAATTTATTTATCACTGATTTTATTATGTTTTACTACGGTTTTCGAAATGTCCAACTCGAGGTTTGGACACTCAGCAGCATTTATAAAAAAAATTAGATCGGTTCCAATGAAGCTTTGTGGGTGTTCAAGACTTTGTCAGTTTAAAGTTTGAGTGAGAAAACCTTTTTATTTATTGAAGTGTTATTGTCTTTCTAGGAAAAACATGTATAATTTTCAAATATGCGCCTTTTGAGCAGAATTAGTTCTATTATTCATGGCTATTTTAATTTTCAGTGTAGGAATGGATTTTTGAAATTTTTTATACAATTTACTTAATAATTAAATTTGAGAAGGTATGAGTATTTCCTGCCCAAAACACAAGCCAGTTGGAGATGGGTGTTTCCGATTTGAATGAAACATTACTCATATGTTCACCGCTTGTTGCCATTTTCTTTTAAATATGATAGTAGTAGTAAAATTACGTTTATTTCTGTTAATAATGACTTTACATCAGGCTCTTCACCTTTTTTTAATTTTTTATCCTAATTTACGTATTCACGTTTTTCTACTAGTCTACAGAATACCCCTTGGGGTGTGTGTTATGTTTGAATTGAAAAAAGTGATAACCTACCTATCTACGAGTATAACTTAACCTAACGTGCTAGATCACGTATGATCTGATGAGTTGATCTCAGACAGGTGTCTCTGAGCCTTTCCAGGATAAAAACTCTCCGTTCTTCTAATGTCTGAATTCCAGCCAGGAGGTGGATCTCAGAATTTCTAGTTCGCGGGGGATTGTTTAGGATCACCCCAAGGATCTTGTTCTGGATCCTTTGGAGTTTGAGGTGATGGCATTTGGCGCAACTCTCCCAGATTGGCGTACCTTACTGGATTACGGGAAGGATGATTTGTTTGTAATGGCTATTTTAATTTTCAGTGTAGGAATGGATTTTTGAAATTTTTTATACAATTTACTTAATAATTAAATTTGAGAAGGTATGAGTATTTCCTGCCCAAAACACAAGCCAGTTGGAGATGGGTGTTTCCGATTTGAATGAAACATTACTCATATGTTCACCGCTTGTTGCCATTTTCTTTTAAATATGATAGTAGTAGTAAAATTACGTTTATTTCTGTTAATAATGACTTTACATCAGGCTCTTCACCTTTTTTTAATTTTTTATCCTAATTTACGTATTCACGTTTTTCTACTAGTCTACAGAATACCCCTTGGGGTGTGTGTTATGTTTGAATTGAAAAAAGTGATAACCTACCTATCTACGAGTATAACTTAACCTAACGTGCTAGATCACGTATGATCTGATGAGTTGATCTCAGACAGGTGTCTCTGAGCCTTTCCAGGATAAAAACTCTCCGTTCTTCTAATGTCTGAATTCCAGCCAGGAGGTGGATCTCAGAATTTCTAGTTCGCGGGGGATTGTTTAGGATCACCCCAAGGATCTTGTTCTGGATCCTTTGGAGTTTGAGGTGATGGCATTTGGCGCAACTCTCCCAGATTGGCGTACCTTACTGGATTACGGGAAGGATGATTTGTTTGTAAACAGCCAAGGATGCTTCCTTGTGGAATCCCGGCACCGATGTTGATAGCATCCGATATGATGCCATTCAGAGAGACTCCGAATTTCCTGTCCGATAGATAGTTCTTTATTCATCCCACTGCGACCTAGCAAGAAGTACAGTCGACTTGTTTCGCGCTCCGGTATTTCGGAAGTTTTCTCGGTATTCGGTTGGTTTAAATTATCAGTTTTTTCTCGCTTAGTGATTACTGGCATAGTACCCGGCTAAACAATTATCTGAAAGTGAGTTTTTTTTCTGAGAAGAAAGTGTGTTTTCGGCATCATCGGAAGGAAAATTGTTTTTGCGATTGCCAATTCGCCAACCATTTTGCCATCGGTGCGTGATCACGCATACCTGCACACAGATCATCGTCATCGAGTGTCAGCATCTGCCTCCGCATTTATACCGGTCATCCATCATCGTGTGTCCAGCTGAGTGCCGAGCCTAATACAAGCACACCACTACAAAGATCGCCCGCACACGCGCATCGAAGGTCACCCACGCTGCGCGTCGCTCCACTGCTGCTGTGTAATCACTCGGTGGTAGTAGTATAGCAGATAAGTTTTTTTTTCCTGTTTCTTTCTCTCGCCCATCAGTTAAATTTAATTTTGTGTTTCTGTGTTTGTAGTTTTTTTCTGTTTATTGTGTCTGTGTGGTTTTAAGCATCGTTTCAGTGGTAGAGCGTTTACCGCTCCCACTAGTACGGCAAAATGGACGTCTCGTCAGAAGACGATATGGACATTTTGTCGGAAGATGAAACCAGTTTGCCACTCGATGGCAAGAAAAGACGAAAACGTCCTGTCATTCATGGTTCGTCTCAGAAAAGCCCCCGATCGCGAGCCTATCCAGATGACTCGACTGGGCCATGGGTTGTCTACTTTCAGCCCAAAAATAAACCTTTGAACTTGATGCAAATTTCCACTGATCTGACGAAGCGATACTCGGCCGTGACCGAAATCACGAAGGTTAGGCATAATAAACTTCGTGTTGTCGTTTCTAACCTGAAGCAGGCTAACGAGATTGCTGCCTCCCAGCTCTTTACGATTGAGTACAGGGTTTACATACCAGCTCGTGATGTGGAGATCGAAGGTGTGGTCACCGAAGCGAGTCTGACCCCCGAGATCTTGGAGAAGCAGGCGGTTGGCCGTTTCAAAAACCCCTTGCTCCCCCCGGTGAAGATACTGGATGTCCAAAAACTGGGCTCAGTATCTGTCAGCGAGGGTAAAAAGAGTTTTACCCCCACAGACTCGTTTCGCGTGACCTTTTCTGGTTCAGCCCTTCCTCACTACATCGAGTTGGGAAAACTTCGGCTACCTGTACGCTTGTTTGTTCCTCGGGTCATGATCTGCCAAAACTGCAAACAGTTGGGACATACGGCCTCTCACTGTGGCAGCAAGGCACGCTGTTCCAAATGCGGGGAGAAGCACGAGGATGGCGCCTGCACAGTCACGGCACCAAAATGCGTGTACTGCAAAGGATCTCCTCCTCATGGTCTCTCGTCGTGTCCGGTGTATAAACAACGCGGGGAAAAACTAGAGCGCTCTCTTAAAGAACGTTCCAGGCGGTCTTTTGCAGAAATGCTTAAGACAGCCAAGCCATCGACCAACGAAACAAATCCCTTCGCTCTTTTGTCAGATGACGAGTCTGGCTCTGACTTGGCTGAGGAGGGAGTTTCTTTCAGTTTTCCGGAAGGTTCTGCCCGGAAACGAAAACGCATCCGTTCGCGGAAAGTTGCAGATCAAGAACCCCAAATCAGCTTGCCCAAATCAAGGAGTGGTGGAAAAAAGGAGACTTCTACTCCTCCTGGATTCCGCAGAACTGATTATACCCAGGATTTTCCACCTCTCCCGGGGACATCCAAAACCCCCGATGCCCCAATTTTCAGAACACAAGCCCCTTCTTCATCTGGGTTGTTCTCATTTGATAACATTGTGGACAGTATCCTCAATTACCTCGATATTTCTGATCCTCTGAAAAGCATTGTTCTGGCAATGCTTCCTACTGTGAAAACCCTCTTGAAGCAGTTGACATTGAAGTGGCCCCTCCTTGCAGCAATCATCTCCTTCGATGGATAATTTTCCAAACGAGGTCGGGGATTTGATCACTGTTCTACAGTGGAATTGTCGAAGTCTTATTCCTAAGATAGAATCGTTTAAGTTTTTGGTTCACAATAATGATTGTGATGCATTTGCTCTGTGTGAAACTTGGCTCTCTTCAGATATCGATCTTCCTTTTCATGATTTTAACATTATTCGACTGGATCGTGAGGATTCGCGTGGAGGAGGAGTACTTTTGGGGATCAAAAAGTGCCATTCCTTCTATAGAGTGAATCTTCCACAATTTCCAGGTATTGAAGTTGTCGCATGTCAGGCTTTTGTTAAAGGCAAGAGCCTTTGTATTGCTTCTGTGTATATTCCTCCCCGAGTTTCGATTAGTCAAAAACAACTTTCAGATATCTGTTCAGTTCTTCCTACTCCACGGTTGATTATGGGAGATTTTAATTCCCACGGTACAGGCTGGGGGGAACTGTATGATGACAACCGTTCTACTTTGATATATGACCTCTGTGATAACTTCAATATGACAATTCTTAACAATGGAGAAGTAACACGTCTGGCTGGTCCATCCTCAAATGGAAGTAGATTAGACCTCACACTTTGCTCTAATTCATTATCGTTGGATTGCACGTGGAATGTGATCCAGGATCCCCACGGTAGTGATCACTTGCCGATCAAAATTTCTATTGCCAGTGGGTTCAATCCGTCGGAATCCGTTAACGTCGCGTACGACCTCACCCGTAATATCGATTGGACAACGTTCAAGACCGCGATAGATGAAGCCGTGTCGTCGGTAGAAGAGCTTCCACCGTTGGAGGAATATAACTTCCTCTCCAATCTGATCTTGGACAGCGCGCTTCGAGCTCAAACTCGGCCGGTTCCAGGAACGTCTTTTCGTAGGAAACCTCCTACCCCTTGGTGGGACCAGCAATGCACTGAGGTTTATCGTAAAAAGTCCGACGCGTTTAAGCTTTTCCGGAAACGCGGAACACCCGAGTATTTCGAAGCGTACTCGACTCTTGAACACGAACTCAAGAGCCTCATCAAAGCCAAGAAACGCGGATACTGGCGGCAATTCGTGGACGGTTTATCGCGCGAAACGTCGATGAATACGCTTTGGAACACGGCGCGAAGGATGCGTAACCGGTCTTCAAACAACGAGAGCGAGGAGTACTCGGATCGGTGGATTCTCAAGTTCGCGCGAAAAGTATGTCCTGATTCCGTGCCGGCACAGATGATTCCTCGCGAAACGACGAATTCGGTAGACGAGATCAGCCAGCCTTTTTCAATGCTGGAGCTCTCACTCGCGCTCCTTTCGTGTCGCAATTCGGCTCCGGGGGCTGATAGGATCAAGTTCGACTTGTTGAAGAACCTCCCAGACGTCGCTAAGAGGCGCATGTTGAA